ACTAAGTTAAATATTAATATTAATTAAAAATAATAAACTTATAAACTATATAGATTTATTTATAGTCATTATATGATATGAGTTAAAAAACAAATATTCCAATATGAGACCAATATTACAAATATTGCAATAAGTAACGTGTATCATTAAATATAAATAATAAAACAATTTTTAAAAACGTATTTGAAATTTAAAATAAAGGCCTCGCTCTCGTTTTTCTTTTTTTCTTTTAATCTAATTATAAATATCTTAACTCACACCTTTATAATACAAGGTGGTGTTGTACGTTTGGATGAGTGGCGGATAATAGAAATTTTTTCAGTGGGGAAATATACATTTATCAATATGATTAATTATACAGTTATCATAACTTTCTCTTGACAAATGGGCTGATGTAGACTTGGGCCCAATAACACCCAAGGCCCAAACCCACCAATACAAGGCCGCTCTTGCCTCCATCTTGCTACAGCTTCGATCGGCTATCACGACCTCTGGGGCGCCACAGCAAGCCACAACTTTCTCCTTTCTTTTTTATTTTTCCGATCTGCAACTTCCTCCTTCATTCTCTTGCCACAACCACCACCTTGCTTATTTTTTCCGATAGATATTGGAGTTTGTTTCCACATACGACGTTAATTTGATGCGTAAAACATATCGACTCACTCAGATTGTCAGTTGAATCGCCTTAATTTGCGAACCGAATCAACCTGCAAAGCGCTGGAGGCGGGATTCCTACGTGCAAGTCAGAAAACTAATATCTTAAATGTATAGGTTAGAGATTGAACATGGATTCATTATTTATAAAGAATTTAATGACTAACCTACCAAGACAAAGGGTTTTCATAATAATCAAGTGTACTACACGGGTACTTAAATATATATCTGTACAATAAAAATTAAAATAATTTACATTTTTATTGCGAAATTATGTATAATACCCGTATACTACGCGGATACTTAAATATATTGTATTTGTACAATAAAGAATCAAATAATTTATATTTTTATGTGAAATTATGTATGATTAATATGTAACAATAATAAATAACTAACAAAAGTAATATTTCTAAAGTTATATATGTATAAAAATTATATTATTTACAACTTCATCTATTTGATTAATTTTTTAAACAAAACAAAATAACTTTTATTGTACTATGATTATATTTTATATTTACAGAGTCAATGTCTCACGTTTATTAATTTTTTAAATATTTTAAATTCATATAATTAATAATTTAGAATTTACGTAGAAATGTATTATTTTCTAACTTTATGAAATACAAAATTATCTGATTTTATTTAATTATAATATTCTTTTATATTTACCATATTAAATAACATAATATTCAATTTTTTATACAATCTATTTAACTTGAGAAATAATATTTTTAAAATTTTTTTTAAATTTATAGCTAATTTTTATTTTTTATTCAAAATTTATAGAAAAAAACAAGAAAATATTATTTTACGGTGTATTAATGAATTAGATTTTTATTATTTTTATAAAATAAATTCTATTGTCATATAATATTTTTAGATTGAGTGGATAATAAAATTAATTTTATTTATAAATATAGATGAAATTATTTTTTATTTTATATATGCAATATGGATGTCAAATCGAAGATCGTTAAAATATGATTATTTTGGTAGATTATATATAAAAAGTAGAATACAAATAAAAAAGTTATAAACTTTTTAAAATAAAAGGCACACATATTTACAACAATTAATATATGAATTAAATAAAAAAAGTAAGAGTAATATATGGTAACTTTAGAAAAAAGGAAAGCTAAAATAGTCTATAGTAATTTCCAAACCTAATATCACAACCGAACCTGAACATGTGTCAATACGAAATATTAATTTATGCCAAATAAGCTTACGAAACACACGAGTCTGCCATTTAGGCTCAGCGCATTCAAGAATTATATATAAGAGCAATTCTAATCTTCCACAATGACTATGTAGATACACACCAACTTACTTAAATATCTTTTAGGAATTTTTCCTATATCTTTAAAGGTAATAAACCAACACCATATATTTCATAAATCAGGCTTAAGCTCCCTTGGACTGGATGTACCCGACGAGCCATTTTTTTTAAGCTCCTTTGGATTGGCTCTACTTGACGAGCCATTTTTCGTGCTACATCACCGGCCTCTCCCTCAATGAGCTCAATCTCCATGAGCTCGTCCTACTATGAGATTTCCAACTTCTCAGACTTACTCTCTTTACTAGAGCTCTTAGGTTGGTCTAACTCCCGACCTCTCTTTTTTTCCTTTCGCCTCTGTGCTCTTGAGCTTACTTGGTAGCACGACCTATCCTGTCGTTAGTTTCCTGCAGCCTCTCCAACCTGGTCCCCAACAGAGAACTTGACCTTCATGCAGCAAGTCGGCACTGCCGCCTGAAATGAGTTAGGACTGAGGTGCCCAAGAATTATGTTGTACGTCGAGATAGTTTCTACCACACAAAATGGACAATCTTGACCTTCTTGAGAGGTGGCTATCAGAAGGCCACAGGTAAGAGCCCCTCCCCAATCGGCCTGACCTCATTACCATTAAACCATAAAGGGCCATATTTACTGGATCTATCTTGACGTCGAGGTTCATCTGTCTGAGGCATTGTAAAAAGATAAAGTCGATTGAGCTCCAGATGTCGATGAACCCCCTTTACACATCGTAGCTGGCGACCTCGAAAGTGATGACCAAGGCATCATTGAGTGGAGTAGAAATTCTCTACCCATTTGCAGACCCGAACTTCAGATCTACCTCGAGCTGTACTTGCTCAACTTGAACCTCTACAACCTCCTTGTCGATGTAGGTCCTATTCTACGCCTAGTGGGAGTCCCTATCTTAGGACCCCCTGCGCCTAGTGGGAGTCCCATTTTGGGTGGTCTTTTCTTTGGCTCCTCAGGTTGCCTCCTCTTTTTATGCGATCTTACGATCATCTCTCTTTTTTTCAATGTTGAGAACAAATCTTTGAGATGTCCCACTCGAATGAGCCTCTTGATCGCATCCTTCAGCTCCCTGCAGTTGTCGAATGACAATAATCCCAATGGTACCGACAATATGGGTCACCTCGTGAGGGAACATACCATCTCTTCTTTGGGATGGGGTTAGGTCGGGAAACGATACCTGTGACACCCTGCTTCTCAAGGACCTCAAATACCTCCTTGTGAATTACGGCTAAGGGTGCATATTGCCCATACTTGTAACCCATCTTGCTGCCTTCATCTGACTTTGAGTCTTTTGAGGACCTCTTATCATTCGAGTGAGGCTTTTACTCAGCTTGCTTGACCTTGGCCAAGTCATTCTACAGAAAGTCGGTCTTTGCCTCTTCTATATTAATATACTTTGTGCACCAGACTAACAGCTCATCAAAGGACCTCGATGGCCTCTTTGCCAATGAATATCGACACGGACCTGGTCCGAGTCTTCTGGTTAGACCCCTTGCTCAAATCTCATTAGACGCTGAGGGGACCTCCATGTACTCTATAGTATAGCGAGCTACATATTGCTTAAAAAGTCTCCCATTTTCTATGTTGCATGCTGATTAGAGCCAGATAGGCCTTCTCATGCTTCCTCGCACTCGAAGATTGATTAATGAGCGGAGAGCTAAATCTCTCAAAATTGTAGATCAACCCAGCCAAAAACTGGTGAAACCAGTCCTCTGTCAACCCCTTCAATGTGGTAATAAAAGCTTTGCAACAAGCTGCGTCGCAGTGCCGATGGAGCGCTACTATGTTCTTGAACAACCTAAGGTGCCCAGCTGGGTCTGTCGAACCATCGTATGACAAATTCAACTCACAAAATCTATTTGTTAGATCAACCTCCAAAACCTCCTCAGCAAATGGATGACCGTGGATTTGAGGTGCTACTCTACCCTTTACCCAAGTTGTAATTCGTGCAACTGAGTTTCTAGCCTCTCCAGGGTAGCGTCTCGAGCTAGTCTAGACGTCGTAGTAGTCGATGATGCCAACCTTGCCTATACCACCTCTGTTCTCCTATGGGGTTGCGATTGCTGAACCACCGAATTTTCTTTGCCATGTGCCCGAGCTGTTGTTGTATATGCTGAAACCTTGGGTTTGGATATTATTAACACTACATCAGTTGAATGAGAATCGTTTTGATTAAACAAGTTCTATATTCTGTTATTTGCTTTTAGATAAAATGGTTCATCACGGATGAACAGCAGATCATTTTATCAGTCACTCGCGAAACAAGAATAATTGGTCACAACTTAGACGGAAATGAACAAACCATCGGAATGGTTGTAGTATCAACAGTATAGTTGATCTTGTCTGAATAGTTGCACTAGTACATTTTATATATTGAACATGATCCAAGAGAGTAGCAGTTTGTTTTATATTAATCATCGTAAACGAACTAAGCCTTAGTTCATTTGAATTCCCACCGATGTACCAAGTATTAAAAAATTACAGTTCTTCAAGGATCACTCTAATTGTCCTAAAAGAAATAAATCGAACTAGTTGATCTCAAGCTTCTTTCTTTCTTTATAGCAATTCCCAAGAGGTAGGTTAGGAAGGTGAGCCTGGCTTTAAATTCTCCTCACACGTCTTCATTGCATAGATCTATTGTACCCTTCTGGAAAATGCTTATTTTTCCAATCTTTAATGACTACTTTGAAAATGACAATGCTACTCTTTCATTCATATGTTTAAATAATGTGCATTAAAATTTATGGTGGAATAAAGAAAAGGAATAAAACCTCCACAATGACACATTACAATTTAACCAAATTAAAAAGTTTAACAAAAACTGGTGTTCTTCCAAAATAATAACTGCGTGTTATGAAATTACCTTAAACCTCAAGGTCAGTATAGTGCTTCTTCTTTCTTTCTTTTTTTNAATCCACAATAGTTTAGCTAAAGCAGAGAAGAAAACCTGCAAGCCGCCAGTCCCACATACTCTCAACCATTGGATTCCTTTTTTCCTTGTCTTTATAATCATAGTTATAACTTATCCAAAACACATCTCCCATTCGTAGTCCTGAAAAAATAAAGGGGAAGAGGAGAATGGAGCCTCCAAATTCATGGACTCTGTTTCTACTTTCATGTCTTCTGTTATTAGCCCACCATGCTCATCACACCTCAGCCAAAAGATCCACATACATTGTCCACATGGACAAATCCTCCATGCCCAAGCCATTCTCCTCCCACCACCACTGGTACTCTTCCATTCTCAAATCCGATCACAACCCCGGGCCCGGCCCGAAACTCCTATACACATACGACCACGCCTTCCACGGCTTCAGCGTAGTCCTCTCCGAAACCGAGCTCCAATCCGTAAAAAACTCTCCGGGCTTCCTCACGGCCTACCGCGACGAACCCGTCACCCCCGAAACCACCCACACCTACAAATTCCTCTCCCTCAACACCGCCTCCGGCCTCTGGCCCGCCTCCAACTACGGCGAAAACGTCATCATCGGCATCATCGACACCGGCATCTGGCCCGAGAGCCCGAGCTTCCGCGACGAAGGCCTCCCCGACGTCCCCGCCCGTTGGAAGGGCACGTGCCAGGCTGGCCAGGCCTTCCCCGCCTCCACGTGCAACCGCAAGATCATCGGGGCCCGTTACTTCAACGCGGGCTTTCGGGCCGAGGCTCCCGACTTCCCCATCACAATGAACTCCGCCCGAGACATCGACGGCCACGGCACCCACGTCGCCGCCACGGCCGCCGGCGCCCGAGTCCCCAACGTCTCCTTCTTCGGGTACGCCCCCGGGACGGCCAGCGGGGTCGCCCCGCGGGCCCGGATCGCGGTTTATAAGGTCCTATGGGGAGGCGGCGTCTCGTCCGACATCCTAGCTGGCATCGACCAGGCGGTGGCGGACGGGGTCGACATCATCTCCGGCTCCCTCAGCAGCCGCACGGAGCCGCTGTACGAGAACCCGCTCTCGATAGCGAGCTTCGGGGCTCGGGAGAAGGGGATTCTAGTGGCGCTCGCGGCCGGGAACCGTGGCCCGAGCTTACGAACCACGCGGTCCGCCATCCCGTGGGCCGTGATTGTGGCTTCAGGGACGGTCGACCGATGGTTCGCCGGGACCGTGACGCTCGGAAACGGGAGGAAGATTACCGGTTGGACGACTTTCCCCGCCCGGGCCTCCGTCCGAGCCCTGCCGCTCGTTTATAACGAGACACTCTCCGCGTGCGACTCGAGCGAGCTCGTGCTGTCGGCCCCTGCAGGTAGGCTTGTAAACAAATTGAATTTTTTTTCGATTCGATTCCATGTTTGTGGTTCGAATTCGAATACGAATTAATGTTTTATATTCAGAAGTTAAACGAATTAGAATCCAAATTTGTAGATATTCGATTCGTTAATGATAATTATATATTCTTATAAATTATATATAGTATATAATTTGTTTATAATATACATATTTATATTGTTTATTCCTGATATTTTTATGACATAAAAAGAAAAAAAAATCCCAAATTAATAATTTGCCTTACAAACATCTCAAATTGGATAGGAAAACATAAATAATATTTTTGTAATTATAATCTTTTTTTTTAATTATAATATTTTTTAGAAAATAAATTCCAATTGAATCGAATATGTTCGAATATTCTAAATGAATCGAATACGAATAAAAAAATCAGACCGTTTACAAATCGAATACGAATTCAAATTCTCGAATATTTTAACGAATCTGAGTCAAATATCTTAGTATTCGCTATGATTCGATTAATTTACAACCCTACTTGCAGGGAGCGTACTCGTATGCAATCTAACTGGGGACAGCTCGTTTTTCGACTCGACAATGAGCTACCTGGTTGAATCGGACGTTCGGGCCGCCATCATAATATCCGAGGACTTCAATATCATGGAGAGGGCTCGATTCCCTTTCCCGGGCGCCGTGATAACGCCGGTCGAGGCCCGAGCCGTGGTCGAGTACACGTCGCGGGACGCGTCGCCCACGGCGACTATCGATTTCCAGGAGACGGTCGTGGGGGCGGCCGGGCCCAGGCCCGGCCCGATGCTTTCCCAGCACTCGTCGAGGGGGCCGGGCCGGAACTACGAGCTCGTCCTAAAGCCGGATATCTTGGCGCCGGGAGTGCTGATCCTGGCGGCGTACAATCCGTACTCGGCAGACGAGGCGAGAATCGGCCGAAACGTCGTCCTGTCGACAGAGTACACTCTGTTGTCCGGAACGTCGATGGCGTGCCCGCACGTCTCGGGCGTGGCCGCCCTACTCAAGGGGGCCCACCCGGAGTGGAGCCCGGCGGCGATTCAGTCGGCCATGATGACCACCGCGAACCCGCTCGACAACGCTGGTCGGCCCATCCGTGAGTACGACTTCGCGGTGGCCACGCCGCTCGGGATCGGGTCGGGCCACGTGGACCCGAACCGGGCCCTCGACCCGGGGCTCGTTTACGACGCGTCCGTGGAGGACCTCGCGAGCCTCGTCTGCTCCATGAATTTCACGAGGGAGCAGACGAGGTCGATTATTCGGTCGTCGGGCGGCCGCGACGACTGCTCGAGCGCGTCGGCCGACCTCAACTACCCGTCCTTCGCGGCCGTGTTTTACAGCGCGGACGAGGGGAGAAGTCTGACGAGAAGGTTCCGGAGAACGGTGACGAACGTGGGGCCCGACAGGGCGAGTTATAGAGTTAGGGTTGAGGCGCCCGCGAACACGACTGTCACGATCAGGCCGCGGACTTTGGTGTTCCGGAAGAAGTACGAGAAGTTGAGTTACGAGGTGAGGGTTCGGTTTAGGGCCGATCTCGAGATTCAGCATAGGCCGGGAGCTATAACTTGGGTCGAGCTGAATGGGACGCGTACGGTGAGGAGTCCGATTATGGTCTCCGCCGGGGCTGATTTTTTCGAGTAATTTTTTCTTTTTAATTTTCTTTGATGTTATTGAATAATGCTGAAATGGTAGGTGATTTGGTGTGCACATATGCCATCACTACCAGAGGCAGATCTTTGTATGCTAGCTAGTAAATGGTGTAAATCTACTGCTAGCATATGATCTTGTTGATTTTCCTTCACGGAGTTGCAGTTATGTAACTAACTGCACAAGAGAATATTCCTTTCAAGATTTGTATATGCAATGCGTTTGCTCCAAATGTAAGGGCTATTCCTATTTGTATAGTTTCAGTTCGCTAAAAGTACCATCTAACTGCATTTCCATTGCTTCTGAAAATTAACCATAACCAAATTTCACAATGGAGAATTAAAAGACAAATCTTAATAATAGTTATTATTTCTAAATATCCTTTGAAGAATTCTTTATGTTTGCACGTTGGGCCATGATCTTCACTGGAGACAATAACTATCTTATAAAACTTTGATGTTTGGAGCCCACAATATGCCGGCCACATGTCCACTAGCAATGCAAAATTTGTGGTTGGAGGTGCAAAAAATATCTATAGCTAAGCTAGTTACATGTTCAGATTTAATTCCTGTCTAAATATGGGCCAGCTATAAATAAGTAAATGAACAGTTGGTCTCACTCTTGTTTGGAAAAGGTGGGATTAATGAGCCGTGACTTTCGTTGTAGAGATAATATAAACAAACCTTTGAGTTTGACACCTCTAAAGCAAGCAAACTGGCGGTGAGACTTGGTGAGTTGTAAGAGAATAAAAAGGTAAATTCAGACAAAAGACAACATTTCTCACATCCAATTCGAGGATCTTGACAGATTGCCTTGAAATACATTGCATTATTGCATGTGTGAAAAAGACTTGCATGTTGCATATTAATGGGAATGTAATCCTACTTTCTCTATAATTTATCATAGGCAAGCAAAATAAATTGAAGTAAATTTTTTTTCTATTTATTTTCTTGTCAATTAGTTTCAACCATTTATTTACATGTATATACATAATTTATGGTTAGTTTGTAAACCTTTTTAGTAAAGGTATTACTGTACATACACAATAATAATAATAATAATAATAATAAAATTGCTAATGAGAGGAGAAAAAGGGGCATTCACCTATAGAGATGGAGAAAAAAGAGAACGTTGGTATAGAGGAAATAGATGGGATAGAGGAAGCAAAGCCCGAACATACTGAAATCCAAACACAACACAATCTCAGAAATCAGCGACAAAATGATCCCAAGAAAGTCGCAAAAAACCTCCGAAAAAAAATTCCTAGATAAAAAATTCGCATCCTAAGCCTCCTAACAAAAAGTTGATACGTAAGCATGCACGGCCACAACATACGAAATCACTTACAGAACCCACAAAGAAGTCATCAAGAGACGAGATTCTCATTGAGCGAAAGGGAGGCAAGCTGATCAGCAGGAGAGTTGGACTGCTGGACATTCCTCAGGACATCCATAGCCTCAGCCACCTTTGCTTTGAGAGCTTCGGGTGATTCCAGTAAATGCAAAACTTCAGTCTGGTCCATCTCCAGCAGCATGCCCGTCACTTTTGCAGCATGTTCGTGCTCCAGCTGGTCAACCTGTGGGTACAGGTTCTCACCCAGCATCTGCAGTAAAAAAAATCACACATTTGATTTGATACAACATTTATTCCGAATATATCTGGCCTGAAACAAACAAACTATGAATAACAACAAACAACATGAATTGATTCGTGGGAGACAATGAACAAATTTTACAAATTGCTTGCCCCAGCTAGGCTTGTAAACAAATCGAATTTTTTTTTATTCGATTCGATATTCGTGATTCGAATTCGAAATATGCAAATACGAATAATGTTTTATATTCGAAAGTTGAACGAATTCGAATTCGAATTTGTAGATATTCGACTAGTTAACGATAGTTATATAAATTATATAGCATAAAATTTGTTTATAATATATACATATATATTGTTATATTCCTAATATTATTATGACATAAAAAGTAAAAACATCACAAAATAACAATTTGCCATAAAAAAACCTTAAATTGGATAGAAAAAAACATAAACAATATTTTTGTAATTATAATCTTTTTTTTTTTAATTAAAATGTTTTGTCTGAAAACGAAGTTCAAATCGAATCGAATACGTTCGAATATTCTAAACGAATCGAATACGAATCAAAAAATGAGTTCGTTTACAAATCGAATACGAATTCAAATCCTCGAATATTTTATCGAATCCGAATCGAATATCTTAATATTAACATATTCGCTTTGATTTGATTCGTTTACAACAAGCAAGTGATTTTCCTAAAAACACGACAGGGAAAAAAAAAATTATGGTTGGATGCAAGAGCGCAAAGGAGGTGGGATTTTCCTTTTAGCGTTAATAACCTAATTAATATATATATATATATCTTGAGCAGAAAAAACTCACCGTCCTCTGCTGTTCAGGAGTTGCATTAGCAAGAGCAGAAGCAAGTGCAGTAATCGGCATAGGTGGCGGAATAGCAGCAGCAGTTGCATCTCCAGTAAGCATGCCATCCATGTCATATGGCACAGAGAGCATTCCACTGGGAACACCAGACATAGGCCCATCTTGCATGTTACGGACTGGAGGGTAACGGTGCATCCTCCCCCTCGGCACCATCTAAGAATTAATTATTATTTAAAAAATAAAACAAATAGTAAAACATTATTTGCGATTTGATTTAGTATAAATGGAAGCACATCTATCTTCTTACTTGCGATTGCACTAGCGGCACAGGATGCTGAGGTTGTTGGACCCCACGTCTGCCACCTGGACGCTGGCCCTGCTGACCTTGCTGGACTAGCGGTACAAAGAAATTTGGAATGGGCCCACCAGGGCGCATTCCAGGTACCAGCTGCTGCTGATAGCCAAATCCAGCCTGGCAAAGTCACCGAACGCAACACACAAATGACGGATATGTGAATACCAGTGTTGTTCTAAATACTTCTCCTACTCCAACCACATACACAATACAAATGCTATTGAGTATTGACCAAGCGGGTATGATATATGCTAGAAAATTCATTGTATATTAAAGAAAATGGATAACAACATCAATATATGATTCAGTTATACGCCCATTACTTTCAAATTCATGACCAGAAGGGTAGAGCAACTCAAAACAAAAGATCATGGAACCAAAAGAAAACAGAAGGGTGACATGGACAGCGGCTCAGACAAAAACTTAAAAGTGGATTTTCGGAACATATATTCGTTGGCTTTAGCATGCATCCAAAAGTCTAATAACAACCCATGCAACACATTAGAAAGAAGTAAGTCAATTAAGAAACAACAAATCTGTGAGACACTTTTTCAAACACCAACCATCCACAACTAACATTTAGAACATTCCATTTAATAAAGTTACTGTTCAATATAAAGGAACAGAAACTTTTCTAATTTTAACCTCATCTCTGTGGTGCTCACTCTAAAGACCAGGATATCATTTGTTATTTAAATGGCAAAGATTAAAACAAATGATAAAAACTAAGAAGAAATTTTTACCTGGTGAGGTATCATAGCAGGAGGTTGTCCATAAAATAGCTGCTGACCAATACCAGGAGCACCAGGAGGATACAAAGGCATACGGGGTGCAATTGATGATGGCATAACAGGCCTCACCTGGGAAAATTGAGCCTGTAATTGACAGACAAGTTCCAGATGGATTCACATTCAGGATCATGTATCCTTTACACATAACAGCAAGTAGCCAAAAGAAATACAGCTTTAGCAGTGTAGGTTCATCAATAAATAAAACAGACATCCAAATGATTATTCTAACCACACCATAAATAACTCTAGGAAATTCAGGAGCCCTATTTTTATGGACATGTGGAGGATGTCAAAGTTTTCTTCCAGAACGAAATGACACAAGCATTTAGCAGCAACGTACAAAATGATCATGGCACAGAAGATAAAAGGAAGGGCATATAATGTCCCATTCCAAAATTCTGACAAGCTAATGATAGGTGGCTAAAAACAATACTGGATACCATATATTAACTTTATTAAATCAGTAAGGCATTCAGTAAAATTAGAGCAACTCTAGTTAATAATGCAAAACCCATTAACAAACGCATAAAATACAGACACTAAAGAAAAATTTTAGGTCACAAATATCCAACTGCTGCCAAAATTGGCTCAGGGTATTCTTCAAACACAGCATATACCTGTAACCTTGCCCTTCTCTCTTCTTTACGCTGCGCAAGCGCAACATAGAGTGGCTTGCTGATCACCATTTTGTTGTTCATTTCAGAAAGCTAAATCACAAAAGCAACAACCAGTTAGGGCATTATATAAGGAAATGTCATCTAGAAATGTATATCAACTCACAGCTCGAGAAGCTTCTTCTGGAGATGAAAAGGCAACAAAACCAGATCCTCTGCTAATCCCATTAGGGTCACGCATAACCTGCAAGCATGGCAAGATTAACTTCAGTGGCTAAAGTCTAGGAACAAGAGAACTTTGAAGATTGAGTCCACAAAACTTGCAGAAAATCACATGCAAAATTACCTTGCAAGAAGTGATACTACCGAATTCTGAAAACAGTTCTTTCAGTTTCTCGTCATCAATGCTATCATCCAAATTTTTTACATACAAATTAAGCCCTTGAAATTTGTCAACAGTTTCCCTAGTAGTCTGCTCAAAACGATTTTTCAGCTCTTGCTCCCTCTCATACTTCTTCTGGGCTTTCCCCACATACCACTCCTTATCATCAATTTTCTTCCCATTTAGAGCTTCAACAGCTTTAGCAGCATCATCAGCATTTTCGAAATTGACAAATCCAAAACATTTTGACTTGCCATTAGCATCTCTCATCACCACGGAACTAGTTATTGTTCCGTATTCACCAAAAACTTTCTTCAAGTCATCATCAGTAGTAGATTCAGCCAAATTTTTCACAAACACATTATTGAACTTTGTCTTGATAATTGCAGTTTCTCTCTCCTGCTTACGAAGGAAAGGCCCGACATACACTTGCTTATCATTAATAAGCATGCCATTCAGTTTATCTATAGCATTTTGGGCAGCTTCTTCCGTTTCAAATTGGACAAATCCATAGCCTTTGGATTGGCCATTAGGATCTGTAGCAATCTTGCAGGAGAGTATATTCCCGAAGCTTGAGAAAGTGTCGTGCAGTGATTTGTTGTCAATTGACTTGTCCAAATTCTGAAAAAGAAAAATTAGCACACAAGTACAATAACATAACCACACAGGATAAAATGATACTGCAGGAGTACAGTATACATCAGAGAGATATTTAACCCAATATATGCATATACATATGTATGTATGTATATATATATATATATATATATATATATAATTGCAGTTGACTGGTAATCTAATACTCCAATCTCCATATCAATCAAGTCCAGTCCTACTAATGAACCAGTTATGAATTAGCCATGAAGATATTACTAGATGTGCTTAGTTTTAAGTTTGGCAGCTATAAAACTTTAAAAGAACAAAGTGTAATCATGCTTATAGTTCCGCACCAAAGAAAATGTTGTTCAGTTTACTTAGAAAAGCTCTCTACAGGAGCAAGAACCAGGACAACAACATATCATATTATATCATAACATGGAGCAACCAGTATTGTAAAAATGGAAGCACAAATGACAACACAAATACCTTAATGAAAATATTTGCCGTTCCACTTTTTCGGACACTTGGGTCCCGATGAGAATACATGACCCGGATTGTCTTGTTATTGAGAGGAGTGAAGTTCAACAATTCTATAGATCTTGCCGCTGCAATCATGAAGCAAGTGAATTAGCATCCTTTCAGTCATATTTGTTTTTGTACAAGACAACAAATTTAAATAGTCAGTTTACAGAAGTACGCAACGGAAAAAAAATAAATATGTCAGTCAATCATATGACAATGTATAAAAGGCTGGAAATATGAGCAACAGGTGAATAGGCATCTCAAATCGACCTACAAATATGATGCCTAACAATCTTAATATAAATAATCAGAAACATAAGAGAAAACGCTAAAGAGACACCTCTCACATTGTAAAACCAACATGACGGAGCTACCACCTCAACAAATAGTCACATTACCATAATTCAGAAAGCGCGCTAATCATCACGATGCAAATATCTTACTTACATGAGTCTAACATACAACAGCACAACTGATACATTTTAAGCTAAGCAAACTACAACCAACTTATAACATCAAGAACTACAAACTTACTTTCAGAAATAACCAAATAGAGTGACTCATAATAATGTAAAATAAGAAAATGAAGCACTAAATAACATTTACGCACAAGTTTGTCTGGTTCATAAAAAATGTGAAATAAGTAATAGAAGCACCAATATATAGTGAGTCATTTGCTCATTTCTCCCAATATTTTCAGCACTAAGCAGTAACGTCAGAGCCTACCATGCAAAACCCATTGACTACTCAAATGCAGCGCATTTAACCATTTCTCCCAATTCTTTTCAGCACAAATCATAATGTGAGAGTCTACAATGTAATACACCCATTGACTACTCACATGTACTAGCAGTCTCGTGATCAAAGGCAGATCTCAACTAAGCAAAATCAGATTCTATAATACTGCATTACTCACAGACTTAAAGAGGACTCCAAATACTTACCATCCTGGGGGTTGCTATAGTTAACATAACCATAGCCAAGGCTGCGTCGAGTGCTCAGGTCACGGCAAACCCTAACTGACACAACCTGCCCAACCTGATTGAAAAGATCGTAGAGCTGGGAATCCGTAACGCTGACGTCCAGGTCGCCTACGTACAGAGACGTCGACGGAAACTGGGTCGCAGCCGCACCATTGGATCCAGGAGCAGCCACATTCTGGGTTTGCACTTGAATCTGTGCCATTTTTCTCCGACTAAAGATGGAAACTTTTTTTGCTGTTTAGAAAATTTTCCTACCCTTTTCGTATAGTTACAACAGAATGAAGCAAAGAGTGAGCAAATTGGAACAATAATGATAACTTTTTGTGTTTTTGGTTGATATTTGAGAGGTAACGGAAGAATTGTGATAGAATTTGAAGGGAGAAAAAAAAAACAGATAAAATTTATAGATAGATAGAGAATTTGGGTTTTTTCTGGCTTTGGGGAGGGCAGGGAACTCCACACCGCACTCAAAGCAGACAGTGGAGTGCGAGAAGTTATATACTATGAAAAGGGATTATTTAGAAACCCTAGCTCTGGATTAAAGAGATGACTAGCTCTGGGTTAAAGAGATGAAATCGTGGCCGTTGGTTTTGTAGTGAGGAACATGTCCGAGGATACGTGTCGGTCAGCACGTGCAGCCCATGGTTAAATTTGTTTCATTGCACGAGTTATGGAGGTGTTTTCTTCTTTCTTTGTTTCTTAAAAAAAAAAAAAAATACAGAGCTCTTTAGGATAAAAATGCAAGTTCATGCGTTTCACAATAAACCTGTGTACCCCTAGCGATGCACGGAAACAATATTAAAATAACAATATTATAAATAGACATCGAGTTTGAGTCACTCAGTAGCGAAAGTGAAAACTACTATTGATCTTATTTCAAAAGAGGAAAAAATAATAATTATAAATTAAAGAGGAGGATAAATAATACTTAATAATTATAAATTAAAGATACGGGGTCAAACAATGTAAAATTATTTTGTATAAAGGAATATAAAAAAATTTGATTACACACTTTTCAAAATTATTATTATATTTTTTTGTATGGTTAGCTTATAATATTTATAAAAAATATTAGTAATTAGACCGATGACAATTAGCTTCTTAAAGTTGATAATGGATTTCTAGTAGTAATTATAAATTGGTTACTATTTTATTTTATTTTTTCTTTTTAAAGATAATGGATTTCTAGTAATAATTATGAATTGGTTTCTATTTTATTTTATTTTTTCAAATCTGTATAGATAAGGGATGAGATTTTTTAAACACGTGGACGTGTGCAATAGGATTTTGTAACTCGTGTAGATTTATACTAAAAATAGGAAAAAAAAAACAAATATTTATTGTCAAAACGGTTTTGATAAACTAAAAAGCAGGAAAAGAGAAATAAATCTTTACACAATTAATGAGCCGATTTTTTTGCCTATTCAGATTTGTCCAACAATTATTATATGTAGAATATATATAATGATTTTGACGGGAAAAGAATTCTAAATTTATAAAAAGGTTATTTTTTTTATATACTGATAGATGAAGTAACAAACCTACCTACACAAGTGTATTTGATAATGTCATTCTATTTCATGATTGTTAGAACAAAATATCACGAGCTAAATTTGATTCCTTTAAAATGAGTTCATCATTTTAAATTGAGACCAAAGTTAGAATATGCAACTAAATGTGAATTTTATATAATTAATTTAAATATAATAAAAATTATTTTTTTTAATTTAATTGATTAATATGAGTCATTGATGTACACAAATAAATGGCTATGACTGGACCTCACATGAACTGAAATATGCACTACAATAAACTAAATATGTATTACTTATTACCTAAACATGCATAATAAATGAACCATGACATGAGATACCATATCGGGTCGAATAGACCTAATAAATTAGCCAATTGGGTCGGACAAACATGTTGGTCAAACAGAACTATAGGCAGGCGTAATGGAGGTCGATCGGAGCTACAGAGTGAAGAGTCCTCAGGTAGATGAGGACATCACAAGTTCAATGGAGCACCGACAGGTCGAGCTAAGGCCTTTAGATGGCGTGGTTGAATCTCGACGTGAAGGCATGACTGGTCGATCATCGAAGAGATGAGCAGAGCATACAAGCTTAGCACGGGCAGCACTCCACCTTGAGATAATGCGGGTCGATCGCACGATTAGACAGTCTAATAATATAATATGGGTCGGTCGCATTTCATCATCTTTACTTTAAAATCTTTGACTCCAACACTTCAATTTTCTTTCATAGTTTATCGTTCTCATGACAAACAATGGCCAACAGCTGGTTCTCAAAGGATCCATGTATATTAAAGAATAAAATAAAAAATAAAGTAAAAACATAAATTAAAGGATCATTGTACCTACAAAAATGTATTAATGCTAAAGCATAAATTCTCGATCAAAATTAAAGGAAAAACCTGGTTATCCACAAGCAAATTCTCATCAACAACTGGCGATACCAAATACACCAGGAAATCAAATTATAATGATTTAAGTACGGTTTCGTTAAACCAAAAAAATTAAAAAAGAAGAAGAAAAAAACACATAATAATATAAAAACTATATAAATTACCTTATGCCGCATTACCTTTTTAAGGGATTGTAAACACTCTTTCATTGTTGAAGGCAAGGTGCTCCCCGTCCATCGAAATAGACGGGGAATCGCCTCAAGTGTCGATCTCTTATCAAGATAAGAGACACGCTCGTACAACTAAGCCAACACTTACACGAGATTTCAAAATTTCACAATTTCACAATTTAATAGTACTGTATTAAGACATTGAAATAAATCTATACATACCATCAGTCCCACTGAGCATCCGTTAAAGTATGATCGGTCTTTTGATTCTGAATGCCGAACAAGCTCCCCAACTAAGAACTTATGAGTAGCATCTCCTCATACAGACTTAGAAATTTTACTTACATCCTCTAAGTAAGGATGCGTAAAGAAACTTCGGAATGAAATAACTAGAACATGGAAATAAAATGCAACTAAACACAAGAAGACTGAACATCCGAATGAAGTCGTCTACACGACCTTCATCCACAACAAACTTCCCTATCAATTCTACAACATCCTTCATTTTCAAAAGTCTATGGTCTCTCCGAGCCCAACCTTCAAATAAAGCTTTCGACTCCAACCCAAAATCTAAATATAAACTTAGACCACTCCGCCTCAATACCATGGTTATACAAAATTCGGCAGCATCAAAGTTAAGAAACAAACCGTCTCCAACAAGAAATGCATTCTTGTCTGTCCTATATGTGCTTGTCAAGGCCTCGACTCTCGTATTGGTTATGGGTAAATGATGTAAGGAAGCGTACGAATGGGAGGATAAACGAGATACTCTCTCGATAGAACTCACAATCAATTCATATTCTTATTCAATAATCAACCACCGAATAACAAAGAAGAGAGGTCTTTAAATAAGCACCCAAAACCCTAAAAGCTATCTTGTCCACCAAGTCACTAAATATTTAAATAATAATAATAATAATAATAATAATAATAATAATAATAATAAAAAAAAATCCACATCATTCTCCCCCGATTGAGCAGGAGAAATAATAATAATAATAATAATAATAATAATAATAATAATAATAATAATAATAATAATAATAAATTATCCACATCATTCTCTCCCGATTGAGCAGGATTCGCCCTCGAATCCTACTCGTTCTCGTTGGAGACGTCCCCATGACAGGAATAGCCCAGCGTTTCCCTCTGTCGAACACGAAGGTTGAACGATGATGTGATCTACCTTGGCTAGCCACAAAATACTCAGTTGTTCGAATGACACTTCTCATCTCCTCAACTTGAGTTACTCGGCCAACCCAAAGAAATACTTCTAAAGTCTTTGCCCTTTTTTGGATATTGGAGTTTGCACCATTGAACTGCTTCAATATATATAACCACATATCAAACTCTTCTGCTTCAAATTTCTTAAATCCAGATGCAACACTACTTTCAAGGGATATGAAACATGGATTAAAGTATGTCAAACATTTGTTAGACTCGTGCCTTTGTAATTCTCTATGCTGCCCAACACGGTCACCAAGAATCGCATCAAGTGCAATGGTTTTGATAGCAATAGTTCCAGCTTCATCCTCTTGCCCCAGAGGCTCCTCATCGAAAATCGGTGGACTATCGTACAATGTCCCGTCATCTTACTCACTATCGAATTCGGGGATGTCAACGTGAAACGGGCCCTCCTATTGACCATATTCGCGATCAAGTCCCTAATCGTGTCGGGCCCGATATCCGCCGACAAAGGCAGCCTCCTCGCGCCTGCCTCTGTCGTCGCGATGATCGTCACCGTCCACGAAGACCGGGCCCTGTCACCGCATGTCACGGCCGCCGTATGCAGCGAAGGGGTCAGCCTCGACGTACGAGGATAGATAATCGTCGAAAGGATTCACTTCCAAGATTGCCTCCTCGTCGTCTTCGTCATCAGACACGGCGGGGCGCCCTGCCTGGACCACGACCTCCACGTCCTCCGCGAATTCCCCCGCACACGCCCCGGTTGTCGGCATTACGGTACGTTTTCTTGTCCCGAACCATGGTACGGATAGTTAGACGTATGTCCCCGATCTCCGCGGACAGATCTGCAATCTGACGACCCATCGTCTCGAGCCCGCGGCCAAACCACTCGGTCCGCCGGCTCAGGTTGTTGATGGCGGCGACACGCCTGTCGTTTGCAGCATCTTGTCTTCGCGACAGCATCATGAATCGTGCTAACTTCTGATACCAACTGATGTAGGGAAGCGTACGAATGGGAAGGATAAACGAGATACTCTCTCGATAAAACTCACAATCAATTCATATTCTTATTCAATAATCAACCACCAAATAACAAAGAAGAGGGGTCTTTAAATAAGACACTCAAAACCCTAAACGTTATCTTGTCCACCAAGTCATTAAATATTTAAATACTAAAATAATAATAATAATAATAATAATAATAATAATAATAATAAATTATCCACATCTGTAAATTAGGCATATTAAAAAACAAAGGGACTCTTCTGTAATGCCTGCTTATGTGCGTCTAAAATATCAACAATAATCTTGTCCATGACACCTTTGAAATATGAAGGTGCACATCTCAATCTAAATTCATTCCTCTATCACAATGTTGTTATTAAAAAAAAACCCTAATTATGAAAAAGTCCAATTCGTGCAAAGAACCCTAACATTCACAGTTCATTACCACTAAATAGATAACCAAAATCTAAATTCTGAAAAAAATCGAATTCTACAACATAATCAAAAGTTTGAAAAAAAAAAACCAAAAATTCGAATTTCAAATTAAGCCTCAATTCTGATTAAAAAAAAAAAAGACAC